ACACACACACACACAGACACATACGTAGACAACTACCTACAGAGAAGTGAAGGCAAGAGTCCTCTTTTCGCCCATAATACGGGGCATTTTTTCCCAATAGCCATGCCGGAGAGAGGTCAGGCATATCGACATGACGCCTGCCCATCGTGGGCAGACTATCTTTTGCCAGAAAGGAGTGACTTCCTTCCGTCACTTGAGCCCTCTTGCTCTGATGAACACACACGAGGGGATGAAGGCAGGCCCGATTTGACGAGCGGACGTAACAGCTCTGCTCACACACACACACACACATACACACACAAACACACACCTCATATAGACCTGGCAGCTTTTGTCTGCCCCGACACTACCTCCGTGGAAGAGAAGGCACAGACAATCACTCGTATGCATACACACACATACACACAAACAGACGCAGGCACGTGAGTAAACACGTTCCAGCACGAAGTAGCCTAACAAAGTCTCACATTCCCGACCCGTTTCCTTCCTGCTTTCCACGCCGTTGCTTGTCCTCTAGGTTTGTTTCAGCCTCTTCCTGCCTCATTTTCCTGTAGATTTCCTACAATCTTCCCATGCCTCCCGGTTACCCTGTGGCCAGTATCTGCTCCTCCTGGTGTGCACCAAAATGAGCCCATCGGGCGCTAGAGCAACATTTTTATGAGGATACCCGTGCAGACTCCGGCACAAGAGGGAGGCAACGAAACCAAATATAATATGATAATTCACATTACATATTTCCTGTACATCAAGACTATTCATAGCTCTGGTGTCAATAAGCGAGCTTCTTTCTCCACTCTGAGATTGCGTAAGTGGGTATTTAGGCTTTCACGTTACTTCTCCCTATTCTCTATTTGCTCATATCTCTTTCTCTTTCACACAAACACACACATTCACTCTCTCTCCTTATTATCCCTTCCTCACACCTTGACATTCTGCAGCATTGTGTATTTGCTTGCGTGCTTCTTAACTCCACCCCGTATCCATCCTGTTTGCAGTTCCCCCACAACGACGGTGCTCCCAACCTTTGGATTTCACTTCCGTTCTTCATTACTTCTCAAGTTCTGTCATTGCTGGCTGCTTAGGCTCTTCCGTTTCTACAGCCCATCTGCTTGCCCGACTGCCCTACTGACTCGGTGACATGATTGCTTGTTTCTTTGCTCGCATTTTATCGTCCGAATTTCGCGTTTTGAATTATCTCCGCTTACTCGCAACCGGGCTTTTTCTTTCCAGCACGTCTTGCACTCACTTCTGCCTATCGCCTCGCCCTCAGTAAACACACTCAATCCGTCATATTCTCTTTGACCTTTTGTTTTTATATTGCCCTCATTTCCTTTCTCTTTTCTGGCTACTTTGTTACCTTTTTCGTGGGTGAGGCGATTTTCGAGACTACCAGTAAATCACATATATGAGTTGTGTTCATCTTATTTCGTTTAAGATGATGAAGGACTGGTGGTTCAATTTTCTCACAATCATACCAGTAGAGCTTATGTATTCCAGTGAATTTTACGAAATAGGATGAACACAACTCATTGGCTTTGTTACCTTCTTCCTTCAATTCATCCTTCCCTCCATACTTCCAGCATGCCACATTTCATTTATTTTAAGTTCCCGCTCTTCACTTCTTGCCTCACGCATATGATTGCCCCTCCAGTTAATAAGCTGAATATAAAGCTTCCAGTGAAGCTCTTATTCCATAATAGTTGAGCTTACTTCTATTTCGAGTGAAAGTGTTTGGTGAAGAGACACGAAGGTGGATCCCTCTTGATCAGCTGCCGATTGAGGATGTTTCTGGGTTGATCTCCTTCGATTCCGGTCAATTTTGAGAACAAGGTATCATCCTTAAAATCATCTTCAAGCCAACAAGTCAAGAACACTCACTGCCTAATCCCTAAAAGTGATTCGGCTGCTTCAATTCATACGTCAACCTTGAAGCGTGTGAGTGTTTCTGTCTGTGGCCGCAAGTGTTCGTTTGTGTAGGAAACCAGCAGTTATGGCTCAAAATAATTGGACTAGAAAAGTAACGTCACACCCTCTCTTTATATCGTGTAACCGTCACTTCGATTGCGCAAGTTCGGACACACGTCTGGTTGCATTGATGCGATTTTTGTCTTCATGTGGGAGAGAAAGAGGACAAAAAAGTAGAGAAAAGTGACTAGAACCAAGCCGCCTAGTTTTACCTGGCGACTCAACATCCTCCATATCATTGTCTCTATATAAGTATAAGTAATATGAGATGTATTCATCCTATTTCGTGTAAGGTGATGAAGGACTGGTAGTAGAATTTTCCCACAGTGGTATGAGTTGAGCTGACGTTTCCATTGAATTTCACGTCAGCTCTACTCATATCATTGTGGAAAAATTCGTCTACCAGTCCTTCATCACCTTTAACGAAATTGGGTGAATACATCTCATATTACTGATTTACTAGTAGTCTCGAAACGATCCTTAATGCGAAAAATAAGTATAAGTAGTTCTTGCTTGTCGGGAGGATATTTATTTCGCATAAAAGTGCATGAAGAAGAGATTTGTAGGTCGATCTCACTAGAAGACGACGCCTGATTCCCGTTGTACTGCCGCCGTTTGGTTTTTATACGACGTTCTGGTTGAAGCAGTCCACGAGAACTCCTCCCTAGTTTCGGGTGAAAGCGGGCTGAGCTTTGGTCCATCAAATGATGGACAGCATCAGAGCTGAGTGTCATTCTTGTAAAAGGCTCACGTTAGCACTAGGGCAAGAAGACTATCCAGTTCTATCTAACCTCAATTAAGCCAAAAGATTATTGCAAATCGAGATAGATAGATACAAAGGAAGAAAGAAAGAAAGAAAGAAAGAAAGAAAGAAAGAAAGAAAGAAAGAAAGAAAGAAAGAAAGAAAGAAA